AGAAAATAATGAAAAATGCCCATCAATTCACTTAAACTCAAGTTGATGTAATAAAACGTCTTGTTTTGTCTGACCCAAAAACCCAACATATATTTTATTTACTATCACATAAGACAGAAAAGTTAAACGTTAGGTTAATGTTAATGTTTTATTTTTGCTTAAAAAATAACCTTAATGATGGAGGCTTTATTGTGCTACCATCTTCAAAGCTTTTAAATATTTACTGACCACATCTGGACCAAACAAGCTATATAATTATAGCGTGAACAATTTAATTCAACTGTATTCATCTCGGCAAGCGCCGTTGTATGCGGCAGCTCGCCACCCAAATGAACAGACGCACACACACATAATATGTAGGAAAAAAACAGTGTGTGTAGTATTCTTACTTGATCCAATTCAAAGCGGCATAGAGGGAACTTGAGTTTACCTTGAGATGGTACACGTTGCCCTGTGCCCTCATCACCAGTTCACTGGCAGGAATGGACTGACCACAAGCGCTGCAGGCTCCACTGTTTCCAAATAATCTGAGGAAAAGGAAGAAAAGTGCAGCAGAGCAAAGTGTTACTATGGAACCACTGCATAGATTTAGCCTTGTGTAATGAACTGTGGCATCCACTCTTTTGTCTGTTGAGTAGCTGCCTGAAAGAGAACTATATTCAGTTCACTGTATAAGTTCACCGTTCCCCAGCTCCATTTCTAACTTGAAGGGAAAGCATACAGGAGAGAGAGAAAAAAGAGAGAAGAGGAACAGAATGAAGAAATAGAAAATCATCACAATATGGACAGAAAAATGAATCCTGCAGCACTCTGCTCTCCACAAGCATCTAGCACTGAAACTGCATATTACTTTTGGTGCACATTTTTTGCAACCTAATAATAACCTGGAACATAAGCAATCAGGACCTAAGAGGATTTGATTGTACATCCAGGCGGAGACATAGTGCTTTTGCCATTAGGACTCCTGTGAATGCTCTGTCAGTGCCGTGTTTCCATTAGAAACCCGTAGCTACTCGGGTTGATATATAATGTGCATGGGTTAACCTTTTCAATCATGGTGTCAACACTTTAGATTTGCTTCTGCTCATCTCTTTCGTCCCTAACCTTCTCTCTCTCTCCCCCTCTCTCTCTCTCTCTCTCTCTCTCTTTCCCTCTGCCTCTTGATAATGAAATGCTTGCTCCAGCTTCCCTTCTATCTTCCTTCTGAGTCCACAATTTAGATTACTTCATCTCGGTGAGCAGCAAACTGAATGAAATTTCGATTTGAGCAGAAAGTAATTTACTGGGATCTGGACCCATTTGTCATCATATCTCACCGGGTGTTTGCTCTATCACTGCACTTTTCCTAAGCAATCAAATAAGACCACGGCATCTGACATGCTCCGGAGAGAAGGGGAGAGAGGGATGGAAAAAGAAAGGGATAGGGGGGAGTGGTTAACATTGGTGTGTGTGCATCAGATAAAGTTGTTTGGCTTCAAAAAAATGAGGCAAGAAAGAAACACAAAACACAAGAGGAAAGATTTTTCTCTACTCAGACATTCTTGAGAACAATCTTATGAAAAGTATTTAACAAATTCATGCTGAGACGGAGCGAGGGAATAAAGGCTTCTACCATCCCGACCATAACCTAAGCAGTTGTTAGATATATTGACGAACAAACAAGCCAGAGCTCTTTGCAAAAGGGACACAGAAATGGCTTTCAATAAGACAGCCTAGGCAGAAGCAAATTTTGTCTTGGCATCATTTGGAAAGGCTCCATCAAAACTCAATTTCAGAAACTAATTAACTGGAGACTGTCGTCACAACACTGCCAATTCTCTGCTTTCACTGGGACAAACACGACAGTGGAAACCAACATATAGGCCTTGCTTTAAGACTCTTGTGCTCATGCAATGTGTGGAAAAGCAGAACTACACTTCTCCCGCAAAGACGTTTCTGCATATCAAAGCCGCCTCGTTCCTCAAATTCAAACTTTGCTCAAATTGAAAATCTGTTCCTCGTGTTGAATTTATTCCTCGAGGAGTTTCCTCTGTGCCAGTGCTTTTGAGAGGTGTCGAAACAAAGACTACAGGACGTTTTAACCGCAGCCTTTTATATTTCACCACAATGTGGAACTCATACCAGGTTCATTATTTTACCAGGGGATAGCTCTTGATAGTATTTGATTTAAGGAGCCTAAGCCTTTAGGTGCTCAATTAAGTTGCTATATCGGTATGAACTTGGGCTCTAATGGCCTCCTCTGCCAGTGACCTACAGCGCAGAGGTGAAGTAGACACCCCAGGTCAGTATAATTAAGGCCAAGGGACTCTTTAATTGCAATGACACATCTGGTTTCAGCTTTTTTTTTCCTCCTAAAGAAATCAGTGGTTGATACAATGTTTCTGGAGGATGGCTTCATCTTGATTTATCTGTTTTCTTCCCCTGTGGATCTGACTTTGCTACAACCAACGTGTCTGATTCAATTAAATAACAAAGGGAAAAAAACACATTTGGAGCTGTCTGTTGTCTATAGAGGCAATGACTATTGGATTTCATTTCAGCACTGACTGCCAGGTGAAATATAGCATGGCTTGCTGCTGGGCTGTCTGGTAAATGCAGACCTCATTCACCAAGGCCTTTGAGTAGGGTAAAATTACCCCACAACAATGATTTCTGCAACACAGTCCATTAAAAATGCCTCTCTACATCAGCAGCCAAAGCACCTTAAAAGCACTAGGCCATATTGATACTGAAGCGGGGCTTTGCATAATGGCAAGAGCTGCATTAGAGAAAAAGGGTGGAGGGGCCGGGGACGGGGTGGGGTGGGGAGATTGT